GTGTGTGTGTGTATGAGTGAATGTGTGTCTGAGTGTGCGTATGTCCCCTGTGCCTGTGTTCCCTGTGTGTGTTGTGTGTGTGTGTGTGTGTGTGCCTGTGTACCTGTGTGTGTATGTGTATGTGTGTGCGAACTTGTTGAACGTGTGTGCTTCTGGTCTTCCACACTTGGTAGCATTCATTCGTTTGCGCTCATCTTGGCTGTTGTATGCCCGTGCATTGCCTGGGGCAGACCCGCCTGGCAACGTCCAAGACGGGCCACTACCGCGGCATGTTTGACTGTGTCGCCCAGATGGCGCATCGTGAGGGCTTTCGTGCTTTTTACCGCGGGTACGAAGCATCAGTGTTACACGTGCATCCATGCATGCGATGTGCATCTCATTTATGAGAGTCACCTCTACTCTGTGCTCTCTTCTCGATGTTCACGGGTTCATGGATATATCGCTATCCCTCGCGTGTACACATGTGTCTGTGTGTGTCTGTGTGTGTGTGTCTGTGTGTGTGTGTGTCTGTGTGTGTCTGTGTGTGTGTCTGTGTGTGTGTCTGTGTCTGTGTGTGTCTGTGTCTGTGTATGCGTGTCTGTGCCAGGATGCTGCCTGCCCTCATCGGCGTCATCCCATATGCGGGCATCGATCTCGCTGTCTACGAATTCCTCAAAACAGTCAGTTGCTCTTGCCCGCCTGTCTGTCTGTTGCCGCACGCCTTGGTGTGTGTTTATTATTGTCTGTGGGCATGCTCTGTGCGTGCGTGCGTGTGTGTATTGTTTGTGAGCATGCTCAGTGCGTGTGTGTGTGTGTGTGTGTGTTGATGTGTGTGCGTGTGTGTTGGTGCGCTTGTTTATGGCATGTCCGCATGCTTCTCCAAGTGTGCACAGCTCACAATGCCCTGCATCCCTCGCTCCGACGCCTGCCAGAACTACGCCATGTCACAGCCCAACAGAGAAACAAACGTGTTTGTCTTCCTCGGCTGCGGTGCGATATCAAGCATGTGCGGTCAGCTCGCCAGCTATCCCCTCGCTCTCATTCGCACCCGGTTGCAGGTATGCACAGAGCACACGCGTAACCGTCCGTGTGTGTGTGTGTGTGTGTGTGTGTGTGTGTATGTGTATGTGCGTGTGTGTGTGCGTGTGTGTGCGTGCATGGATGCACGCGTAGTGTTTAAAGTTCCGACGTGCTCACGTGTGTGTGTGTGTGTGCGTGGCCCATCCCGACAACAAGAACGGCATGTTACAGGAGTTTGTGGCTGTGGTTGCGCGTGGTGGTGCGCGTGCGCTATATCGCGGCATCCTCGTCAACTTCATGAAGGTCGTCCCAGCCGTCAGCATCAGGTCAGCCCCGAGCTCCATTCCCTGGCTCTGTGTGTATGTGTGTTTGTCTGTCTGTTTGTTTGTCTGTCTGTCTGTCTGTGTGTCTGTCTGTGTGTGTGTGTGTGTGTCTGTCTGTGTGTGTGTCTGTCTGTGTGTGTGTCTGTCTGTGTGTCTGTCTGTCTGTCTGTGTGTGTGTGTGTGTGTGTGTGTGTGTGTGTGTGTGTGTGTGTGTGTGTGTGTGTGCCTCTCTGTCTCTATGTCTCTCTACATAACCATTCGTGACTGCTTGCCAACACACACGCCCCCTTCCCCCCCCACAACACACACACACACACACACACACACACACACACACACACACACACACACACACAGAGCGCGCGCATCCATGCAAGAGCGAAGGCTTACTTCTCGACGATGAGCTTGAACCATGGGGTGATCTTGGTGCCAGTCTGCTCGGCGTTGGCCATGAGATCACGCAGTTCGTTTGGCGAAACCCATTTGGTCGCCTGCACCTCATTTGGGACAGGGCTGTGCTCAATGTCCTTCTGGAGGAACAGAATGTAGTCAACTGCACACACAAGGCACATGGATGTGGCAGACGGCAGTGAGCAAACGCACAAGCACACATGCACACGCAAGTACATTCACATACATACACACATGCACACACACACATGCACCCCGCACGCACAGGCTAACGTCAAGAGAAGCACAGAAGCTGCAGTACATGGAGTGTGGACAGTACCTTCGTGCTCGCCCCACATGCCATCGGACGGCGCAAGATACTTGATGCGCGTCAGGAACTTAAACTCGTCCAGGGAGATCTGAGCACAGCGCGCGCACATCAGATTGCGTGAATATCAGCAGCAATGCAATTCAACGCAAATGCAATGCCACCGACCAGTTAGCACTGCACTTCGACCAAGAGCATGCAGCGATACCTTGGAAGGGTCAATGCCGAGCTCGTGCTCGAGCTTGCGACGAGCAGCAAACCTGACACCTGCGGGTACGTGTGATGTTTTGAAGGGCATGGTTGGAAATGACATGTCATTCGCACGCAAGAACACACTGACGCGCACACACGCGCGCGCGCACACGCACGCACGCGCGCACAAGAGCATACACACACGCACCTTTTTGGTTTTCCTCCTCAAGCTCCTCTGGGCGGAAGAGAGGGTGGGAGCAGCACGTGTTGGTCCAGCAGCCAGGGAAGGTAATCTGGGTGTGGAACAAGCGAGCACGCACAAACAAGAGCGGATGGAGACCAAAACGAGATACATGTGAGAGACCCAAAGTGGCAGGAGAGGTGATGGGTGTCTGTAGCAATTTGGGTGACAACACTGCTTCCAGTGCGTGTGTATGTGTGTGTGTATCGATACGCACACGGTGGTGAGGAGAGCGAGGCTGTGTAAAACTAACACTGCGTACCTTCTCATCGGAGCGCTGTTGCAGCAACAACTTGCCCTCCGAGTTGAACAAGAACACGCTGAATGCGCGGTGAAGAAGGCCCTTGTTGATGTTCTCCATCAAATGGCCTGCATGTGCACGGCATACAGTCCACTGTGTCAGCAGCAAAGTATCGCACACGTGGTCCCTGTGCACAAAAGCACAAAAGCGCGCACACACACACACGAGCACACACACACGAGCACACACACACACACACACACACACACACACACACACACACACACACACACACACACACACACACACGAGCACACACACACACACACGAGCACACACACACACAAACACGAGCACACACACACACAAGCACACACACACACACGAGCACACACGAGCATACGCACATACACAGCACAACGCACCCACAGCACGCACACAGCACCACAACATACAGTTCTTCTTGGAGTCGTGACCAAGAACTTTGTCATCCTCATCGACGAGGATGCACTCCTCGGCCATGAGCCGAACCTGCGACCGCGGAGCAAGTCAGTCGTGCAAGTGTAAGCATGCCAAGGTGACCAATGGCACTCGAGTTTCTTGCCTTGCTCCTTGACTGGCAACAAGCAAGTGCAAAGTGCTCTCGTCAAACCTCGCCCACCCCCACCCCACTTCCATTTCTTTATTCCACGCCTGCGCTCGCTTGCCTGCTCGTCATCGTAGCTGGAAAGATCCACAGACATGGCTGGCGTTGGCGTGCGGGTGGTGTGTGTTGTGGCGTGAGTGGGTCACCCGATTACTGAAGTTTAATGGGTATCATTGCCAAGAATCGACAGTGCGGTGGATGGTGAGGAGCGTGGCGAGGAGGAGGCGCGAATACAGCGGGGAGGCGGTGGTGATGGTGTGCGGACCAAGCGTGCGCACAGGAAACTCAACATTGCTCACATACGAACGGCTCTGTGGTGCAAACAGCAAAAACAGCAGCAGCAGCAAGACGCACACACCAACGTTCAGGCGTGTGGAGTACCAAGAAGGAGTACCAGAAGTTTTGAAAGGGCTGGGGTGAGCTTCGAAGTTGTAGCGCAGCAGCTTTGTTTGCCACACACACACACACACACACACACACACACACACACACACATACACACCTGACGCTGAAGATGTGTGAACATTTCTTGAAGCGTGAGGTCCCACATGAGAGCAGAGTGTGTCTAAATCAAAACGATGACAGTGCACAAAAGGAAGCGCCTTGCTTGTGAGGGTACGTGGTGTGGTTTTGCAGCACAGACGCACTTTGGCACACACACACACACATGTACACACATGTGCACAGCGCACGCCAACACGCACCCCGGTCACGATGAAGTTGGTATCTGCTCTCAACAGTGAAAAAAGGGCCAGCACACACACACACGCACCACACAGGCAAGCGCACAGGGAGTGAGAACCACATCAGCAAATCACACGTGCAAACACGCTCAAACAAGAGACAGAATATGCAGCGTGTATGTGTGTGTGTGTGTGTGCCGTTGCCATAACCGAGAACGCACCCACGGCCTTGCCCAGTAGTGTCCGCGCCAGCGTGTAGTCGATGGGTGTCGTGTACTGCAGCAACAGTGCACTCTGAAGAACACAGCAATTGGCAGCGAGAGGCATGGTGAGCATACGCACACGCGAATGTTGCGGCACAGCACATTGTCATGCAAACCATCACGACACCACGACAGCGTCGCAGTCCCAATGCACTCCCTCTGCATTTCTCACCAAGAACGGCTGCGTGTCTTGCAGACATTTGCTAAGCAAAGAAACCATCTGGCAACAGCGAAAGCGAAAGCAAGGTAAGAAGCGGACATGTGGTGAACGCACACACACACACACACACACATACACACGCACACACACGCGCGCACACACACACACACACCACAAGCGATGAAGCGGCAGGTGTCGACGATGGACAAACAGACGAAAGAAAATGAATCAAGCAAGACAAGTCATGTGGTGTTCACCTGCTGGAAGGCAGGTGACGCTGCCGACATGTCCACGTGCGAATACCCGCTGGTCAGCAGGAACAATGCGCGCATTGCAGCCGCAGTTGCATCTGCACTCCGCCCAGCACCTGATTTTGTACGCGTCAAGAGAGGTCACGGTCGAGAAAAAGCAAGCATGGTCATCGCACACGGTTCAATGTCGCAAACACATGTCAGGCCAACACAACAAGCACCCATACACACGTACACCCGTACACACGTACGCACGTACACCCATACACACAACACACACACACACACACACACACACACACACACACACACACACACACACACACACACACACACACACACACACACACACACACACACACACACACACACACACACACACACACACACACACACCGTGGAGGACGTGTGCACCCGCGAGGAGAACCGACGCGTGTGTGTCGACGTGCGCTTCTGCTACAGAACAGTACGGCAGCTGTGCAAAGAAGGCTGGAAACCACCACAAACATCGCCACAAACATCACCACCATTAGAGAGGTGAGCCAGAATGCGGCGGACACGTAAACTCGGTGTACCACCAAGCGAGACAAAGAAATCAACAGGAACGTGCAGGCGCACTCTCGAAGGGCAGGCCCTGCTACCGTGTGTGAGGCGCATGAGGGCTGCAGCTGTGGCATCATCAGGTTGAAGGTGCAGTGATGATGGCGAGTGGATTGGCAGCGACCACTCGGGCGTTGTCATCATTGCTCGTCCAATGCCATGCGGCAGCTGTACACCAGCAGAAAACAGGCACGGCGCAAGCACATTGGGGACGTGTCACGCGTACGGCAACGACAGAGGGCAACGTGCAATCAGAACAAGAAATGGCGGGATTTTGGTGCATCTGTGCGTGTGTCTATGTGTATGTGTATGTATGTATGCATGTATGTGTGCATGTATGCGTGCATGTGCGTATGTGTGTTGCGGTCGCTGTAGCGCAGCTGCAACATACATGTGGGTGGAGCGAGAGGAGGACTGTGGCAAGGGCCGGGGTCCACGGGAACGGCCAGAAGTGAAGGAACAACGCCGACAACGCATCCTCGTTTCTGATACAGACGCAAACAAGCACGCCCACGCACGCACACGCACGCCCACGCACGCACACGCACGCGCACATGGCAGAACCGGTATCAGCGCGCGCCAAGACAACAGCACACCCACATGCACACCTAAACGCACACGCACATCAACGTGCACGCACACCACACGCTGCACATGCAGGTAACAACCAATGCGAGGGGAAAACATGCGCGCATGCACAACAAGGAGTGTGTACCTGACTGCATGCTGAGTCAAAGCGTGAGCGCACGTGTGCACTGCACCAGCTTCATCGCCGCCACCTTCGCCACCGCCATGTGTCCCGGCCTCGATGCAGGCAACCAGCGTCACCACCACGTCACCGGTCCATCTCTCCACACCGCCTCCCTCCACTGACTGCCGCGCCTCTGCGTACTTTCCACTGCATGCCAGGCGAATGCAGTCGCTGATTGCGTCCGTGCGTACGTGTGTTGGGACGTGTAACGGTGGCGGAATGGGCCGGTCGCCCTCCAGTGTACACGTGTGCAGTTCAAGACGATCGCGCAGCACAGACAGCGCACCCGTCTCAGGGAACTGTGGCACAACTGCACGTTGTTCGTGTGTGTGTGTGTGTGTGTGTGTGTGTGTGCGTGAGTGTGTGTGTGTGTGTGCGTGTGCGTGCGTGTGTGTGTGTGTGTGTGTGTGTGTGTGTGTGTGTGTGTGTGTGTGTGTGTGTGTGTGTGTGTGTGTGTGTGTGTGAACAGAAGTCGCAGCGCAGCGCTGAGTGACACATATCCTCGCCCCACAGCGCTCTGTGTGAGTTACCTTGGTGGACGCGCGCGGCCTGTGATGGAAGAACAACGTCGAGCAGCGACCAGCGCGATGTCTCAATGCACTGCAGCTGATGTTCGTGATGGCGGTGTTGATGGTGGTCATGGCGGTGGTGGTGTGAAGAGACAGGGTTTAAGATGAGGTGAAGAGGAAGCGACAATGATGGTGTGAAGAGGAAAGGACTGCGATGATGAAGACAGGGCAGGTGAATTGCGAACGTACGCAGAAGACGGTGAGCAGCTGTGCATTCACGCCGTCCGCGTTGGTCGAAATCTGAGCAAAGAAACACATGCCCACACGCACACACACGTACATACGCACATACGCACAGGCGAGCATGTGAGCTCATTGGAACTTTGGGTCAGAGTGCGCAAACAAACCTCCACTAACCCATCACTCTGTGTGTGCATGTATGTATGTGTGTGTGGATGAACTTGCATATTGGTGTAGGAGGGAAAGTTCTGCTGTGATGTCCATGAATGCGCGCGTATCCGTTTGAGCCAGCTGCTCCTCCTGCTCTGCTGTCAACCGCTGCATACGAGCAGCCAGTGTGTGTGTGTGTGCGTGTGAACGAGTGAGCGTTCCTTGCTCCATTTCGTCTGTCCTCTTGTTCCTCCCTTCTCTTCCGTCTCACACACAACTCCCTTCCACCAACAACCGCTCACGTGTGCAACCTTGTGCTGCAACACGACGTGTGTCAGTGTGTCCTGCGTCAACTCGGCCAAATCGGGCGCCGTTAACCCACATGCGCCCTAAATACACACGCACACACATGCCAGTCCACACACACACACACACACACACACATGTCAGCACACACGCAGTCATGTCAGCACACACGCAGTCATGTCAGCACACACACACACGATCGTACACATATGCACACACACAACCAATGTGTCTCATGCAGGTGACATGCGAGTCAATGTCGAAGCGAACACACGTACGCATATGCCGCGGTGGTGCTGCTGTGTCCACTCAATGTAAGGATCGTTCAACTGGGCATCGCTCATATCGTTCATGATGTCGCACTTGCGCTGCGCATATGTACGGGCATCACCCGGCCGCCCTTTGGACAGGTGCCAGTATGCGAGATCTGAAGCAGGCGCAGCATGCAGGCAGAGGCGATGAGCACGTGCAGATGCAGTGTGCCTGGTCAGCCGGTGTGCTCCTCTCCTGTCCTGAGTCCGCACGCGCAAGCTACGACACCATCCAAACACGCACGCGCACACGCACACGCTCACGCACAAGCACACGCACACGCTCACGTACACGCACGCGCACGCGCACACGTACACGCACACACGCACACGCTCACACATAGCCGCACGAACCATGGCAGAGCTGGGTGGCAATGGCGAGAGGGTCGGCGGTGTCTGTTGCATCTCGAATGGGAACGACACGTGGACGCTGAGTCGTCAACACATCAACAGCAGACGTCAGCAGCGCATGTGCCCCTTCAACTTGAAAGCTCTCTTCATCACTCAGCGCCTGCAGTGTTATAGGTTGTGTCGTGTGTGTGTGTGTGTGTGTGTGTGTGTGTGTGTGTGTGTGTGTGTGTGTGTGTGTGTGTGTGTGTGTGTGTGTGTGTGTGTGTGTGTGTGTGTGTGTGTGTGTGTGTGTAGCAAAGCAGCGGTATCCATGAGGGATGCATGCAGACCCATACTTGTGGCTGTGCACACGCACGCGCGCAATCCACAACATACGCACAGACCACAACCAACGGGCCAGACAACGTACGCGGTAGACGCGGCGGTAGTTCTCGTCGGACGGGGAGGAAGCGGTTGGACGGAGAGGACCACGCAGTCGTGATCGCGTGGCTGATGATCGAATGGCACAAAGGTGACGGAAGGTCGTCGGAGGTAGCAGGAAGGCCGAGGTACACACACACACACACATACACATACACACACACACACACACACATACACATACACATACACACACACACACATGCACACATACACATACACATACACATACACACACACACACACACACATGCACAAGAGGTGAGGAGTCGTGGTTGTATTTCGCAGGCAGGCGATGCATGGTGTTGCAACAAAGGCGGGCTGCCCATCATGGTACACGCGAAGCAGTGCCATCTACTGAACGCACGCAGGTACGGCTCTGGATCTGCGTTGAACTGTAGCTTCCACCGGCTAGGCCAGATGTGTTCAAGAATCACGATCCCATCAGTGACTTGGAGTGTTGGCGTCTGTTCCAAGCACATCAGGAACACCCACACCTGCGTCTTTGGCTTACACCTGATCAAGCGAGCAACACAGAGACCAAGGGTGGAGAGGATGGTGAGGCTGGGTCCAGAAACAAGCCACACATCATCACGACACCACAAGCGGCCTGCTTGCTTGATTGCTTGGCTCACCGTGCTGCAATGTCCTGCGGCAAGTGTGGACGCTGCTGCAAGATAGACCGAAGAAGAGACACTCCACGCTGATGGATGTGCTTGGCTTGCTGGCCCTGCGACCCAGCGAGAGAACACCAAAGCAGACATGGCGTGTGTGTGTGTGTGTGTGTGTGTGTGTGTGTGTGTGTGTGTGTATCAACCAACCAAACCAAGAAGCAACCACCAAGCAAACAAGGCCAGTGAGTCAGTCAGTCAGTCAGTCGAGGGTGCGCGTGCACGCTGTGGCGGCTTCCTCCAACGCACCTTTCGCCTCAAGGGCAGTCACCGTCTCCACATACTTGCCACCCGACGCCACATCCACCAGCGCCCGAAACGAATTCATTGTGCAGTGTTGTTGTTCACTGTGCAGTCAGTGTCTTGTTTGTGCACCGTTGTCGTGGTCGCTGCTGATTTTGTTTGCTGCAGATGTCTTGTTCACCATGCCAAGCACCAGCTTTTATGATAACACACGCATGCGTGTCTTCCTCCCTCATGGGCGGAAACGCACACACCCACACTCACGCACCCACACACACTCACCCACACACACTCACCCACACACACTCACGCACACACACACCAACCGCTAACTGCTCTCATTTCATCAAACAGCAGGGGTGCAGTGGAAGGTGTAGGTGCCCATTGCGTGGTGGACGCCGAGCTTGACCTGCAGCTTGCTTGCCCGCTGCAGCTCCTTGGCGCTGTGCCCGTGCAGCCAGTAAACCACCTGCTTGGCCCAGAAGGGCCCGCCTTCATACACATGGCCGTATCTGCCCTCGCCAAGCCCAAGCGCCTCCGCCCCAAATCGTCGCACGTCTGCGCGCGTGTGCGGATATCCAGGCAGCACGACGGGCGGGCCGCTCGCCCCATCACCAGTCACCATGTCAACCCACAGCACAACAGCATCGCCAACACCACCAACACCACCATCAACGCCAACACCACAGCCGTCACCACCATCACCACTGGCATCGTCACCATCACCACTGGCAGCGAGTGGTAGCTCTGTATCGAACACCTCCTCGTGTGGAAGGTCGTCGGCACCACTGGTCAGGTCGAGAGTGGCAACAGTCACCGGTGCACACGCGAGGGAGCGGCGGTACTGCCACAGAGACACACACGACAGCGCATGCACACCAACGCTAACACCAACACCACTACCGTCGCCACTGCCAGCACCATCGCCATCATCACCGTCGTCGTTGCCCACGGTGGCGGCGGCGACATGGGGCCGCATGGCGCGTTCGAGCGGGGTGTGGTCGAGGCCACAGATGGTGGTGATGGCAGCGTGGGAGAAAGACAGGTCCGGCAGCCGAACAAGGGCTGCGCGTATGCAGATGCGATGCGGTGTAATGGCCGCAGAAGGCGAGATCGCGGGGGAAAAGGCACGTCGAAGGTAGTACAAGTTAAGGGCAGCGAGGATGGGGCGGTTCTTCAGCTGATACGCAAAGGTGTCGCCAACAACATGCTGCACTTGGCCCCACCGCCACGCATCCCCGTGGTCCGCTCCCCGCCACCACTGCACATTCACAACGCCACGGCCATCTCCACCGCTGTCGCAAACACTGGTGTCGTTGTTGCTGCTGCTGCTGGTGTTGCCGACGTGAGTTGCTTGGTGCACCCCGTGACGTGTGTCGAGGTGAGCCAAAGGGCACACGGTGACGTGCTGCTTGGCGTCATACACAACAATGGTCCTTGAACGTTTCGGATCAGGACACGCCAGATGCTGCGCGTACAACAGTCCACACGCCCCGCCCTCGCACATGTCGAGAACAATGCCGTTGGCGCCCTCCAGCCCGCCAGCAGGAAGGCCAGCATCACGACGGCTTCGCTCCATGGCAGCAACCCATATCCGCCCATACACCCCAGACCCATATGCGGCTGCCCGCTCCACCGTCGCGTGTGTGTGCAGCACGGAGCTGACCAGCAGCGCTTTCGCCTCGTCTGCCGGCGCCAATGCCGGCGTTGTGTCTGGTGATGGTGCAGGCGGTGTAGTGGTGGGTGCTGGTGTTCTCTTTGCAACCTCTGTGGTGTCTGTAGTCATGTCCATGGTGGTTGGTAGGTCTGTGATGGCGGCCGCTCGAAGCGTTGTCGCCTCGTCCTCCAGCCAGATTCGCACCGTCACGCCCGCATGCCCCACTGTGCACCGTGGCAGCACAAACAGGCCCTGTGCCCAGTGGTCCTGAAACGGCTGTCCTGTTGTGGCTGCGGGCGCACTGGAGTACACGAGTGAAGAAGCGTCATCAGCGAGAAGCGACAGCTCCCACCACACCACCATCCCATCCGATGCATCCTGTTCCTCGGCGTCGCCATCACCGCCGCCCTCGTGCTGGTGCTGTTCGAACCGCACGTGCCCGGCATCCTCCCCGCCGCCGCCAACGAGTGACACGCGCACGGGCTGCTGCGATGAGGGGTGCGGCCCATCGCCCCTCAGAGGAGCGCAGGGATCAAAGGCAAGACTCGCCAGCTGCTGCGGATCAGACGTGATGGCCATTGGCTCCAGGCCCTGCACATGGCACGGGAGGCAGTGGGTGTACATTGGGCACCCGTTGAGGCGCAGTGCGTCGAGGGCTGGGCTGGACACCAGCTGACCGTATAGGCGAGCAGCGGCAGGGATGCTGGGCGCTCGTGGGTGCAGGAGACGCGCATAAGCATCGCGCAAGATGGGGACAACCATCTCGCCCGTCAAGCTGAAGTCCAACAGCTCAGATATGACCATGTCACACCGACCGTCGACGGCGTGCGAGGAAAGGTCACTCGGCGTCACCTCAAAGCTGGGCTTGGCGAGCACAGTTACGTGGCCTTCAAATCCGTTGCATGCCACCACAGATGCCGCAACTGTGGCCAGGCCAGCGAACTGCTCAACGGCATATGCGTGTGCAGCTCCATGCCTCACAGCCAACATGGACAGCAGCCCACACCCAGCACCTGAATGGGATAGATTGAGCAAAGAGGAGGTGGTGAGATCAAAACAAGAGGGAAGGCACCTACAGATGTGTGTCTGTGTGTATCCGCGTGTCTGTCTGTCGATGTGTGTGTGTGTGTGTGTGTGTGTGTGCGTGCGTGTGCGAGTGTGTGTGTGTGTCTGTGTCTGTCTGTCTGTCTGTCTGTGTGTGTGTGTGTGTGTGTATCTGCGTGTCTGTCTGTCGATGTGTGTGTGTGTGTGTGTGTGTGTGTGTGTGTGTGTGTGTGTGTGTGTGTGTGTGTGTGTGTGTGTGTGTGGGTGTGTGTGTGTGTGTCATTGAGGCAGCGCACACGACAAGAGGCAAAGCCGAGCAACTACACCATCGTCTGCTCACCGATATCAAGCACAACAGGGGCGCGGCCGTGCTTCTCCTGAAAAGCACCCACAGCAGTGTGAATGGCTTGCTCGTACAGCTCTGCGCGCAGGTGGTCGGTGAGCATCGGCGGATACCAACCGGCGACCAGCTGCGTCGTGGCTGGGTCTGCCCTCGTGCCAGGGGTCCAAGCACCAAGCTCCTGCCCATGCTCTTGAGCCTGCTGCTTTGCTGCAGGTGTGCTTCCAGGCCAAAGCACCCACTGCACACCACCTGTGCTTGGTGCCAGTCTTGCCTCCAGCATTATCTGGCGAACGTGCCCATCCTCAGCCTCAACCTCCGCCCCAACCAGCGTGTCCACATCCGTCTCATCCAAACTGGCCATCGTGGCACGTGTTGTTGTAGTTGTTGTTGTTGTTGTGTTGTTGTGTGTGAAGGTGTTCGTCGTTTACAAGCAGGAAGAGGAAGAAGAGTGGGAAAGCGTTCCGTGCAATCAATGAATACGATGTGGCGGCCCTGATATCCATTCGTTCACCCTTTGCCACGGGTGGTGGTGACGGTGCTTGTGATCCAGTCCAGTGCTCGCTTCATGCTGTCCTGTGTCGTCGCCGTGGAGGGCATGATGGTCCTGCAACAAGATGGGGGTGGAGAGGTGAGGACGAGGGTAGATGAGCGGGAAGGGGTTTACGTGTGCGTGCGTGTGTGTGTGTGTGTGTGTGTGTGTGTGTGTGTGTGTGTGTGTGTGTGTGTGTGTGTGTGTGTGTGTGTGTGTGTGTCTGTGTGTGTGCCTGTGTGTGTGACTGTGTGAGTCTGTACGTGTCTGTGTGTGTGCTTC